GGAATCGTTCAATCTGATCCAGCAATGGAGTGTTAGACGAAGCCATACATCTCTGAGATGCTTTCTTAGGCAACACAACAGCTGAATGAGCAAATTACATTGATCAGGCCTGAGATCAGGTATGAAGGTCACACCAAGGTCAAAACTTGCCTGTTTTATGACTCCACAGCTTGCTGTATGAGATAGTTTCTGGTGCTCATTTCGAGTTTATTGATAGCAGGAACCGCATTATACATCTTCCATGGATTTTTTAGAGGTCAGAATGGGTCAATGACCTAAAATGACCCAGGTCAACATTTTGTTCTAGGAACATACTGTCTAGCGTAATCTTTCTCTCTTAGTCAAATGCAAAACTGAAGGCAATCTGGTATGATTTTGGTCACCTTGACCTTAAAAAGGTCAAACAAGGTCATTGACCTTTAATGAGAATGTGAACTTTTGCTAAGAAACGGTTATTTACGTTCTGGGGACACTTCGGAGACCGACCTGGAACTTGACCTTGTTTGACCTTTTTTGACCCGAAGTTCGTGATCTAGGAACCTGGAACTTTGACCTGAGTGAGTTCACGTACAGGTCAACACACCCTGTAAAATTGATGTTTCTAGCTTTCTTAGTTCCCGAGATCCCTGGGGGAGGGGGTCAAATTGACCCCCCACTCGAGCAAAGGGTATCTAGCCGGCCACCCGGGCGCCTGTTAACATTTCTATCTAGTGTTGGTTGCTCAACCGCAGTTTTCCCAAATAGAGTGAAATATGCTATAATTTTCCTGATTCAGAAATGAAGTGAATGAGATAAGTTTAACATTGATCTCATTTCTTTATTGCCAATTTTATGAACTTTTTGGAAAACTTTTGGATTATTCCTTATCAAGATAGCTCAATGAAAACGACATACTTTTCCGCTTTCAATTTGGACTTAGGAAGCACATAGCACTCATATTCCTGTTTCACATATGTTTCATAAAGCCACCAGTTTTCTCCAAAATGTCACGCAATAATGCCGCCGTCCTTTCAAAACAGGCGCTAGTTGACACATTCGCGCGAAGAACATATCGTAATGAGTGGAATTCTTGAAAAACACATAACAAGTAATAAACCAAGATAACTTAACCAATTGTGCTAGTCTCCATAACGAGCCTCAAGTACTAAAGCAGAACTTGACATTGTTTGTGCAGATACAACGCAAACCTGACATGCTATCCGACAGCGCTTAACATTTTTGTCATTGAAATGCCACGTCAGTTTCAGGACACATCAAGTTATGTCAGTTTCGCTTTGGTGTGTAATAATACACCACCAAAGTTTACCCACAATGTTTCTTTAAGGTCGTTTGCGAGTAGGGCGTCACTTTGTATACTTCCGGTGGGCTTAAGCCCCACCCAGTTCTAATTTGAGCCCTCAAACCATATGGGAAACAGCAATACCGGTCAAAGAAAATGCAAAACAGTTCCCGAAATGCTTGAACATGTGAATACATGGCGATTGGTTTCATGTTCATTTAGCACCACGATAGTGCCGTGTAGGTACCCTACATATTTTCGTCACTCGAACTCCCTTATGCATAATGTCAGTCTACAAATATTGGTTGGGCTTTCACGAGAGAGCATCCGGATCCGAAGAAAAAACAGGATCGACTGCAATACACGGCAGCTTTCGAGTCTATGGACGTTAGTATTGAGACATTAAGCAGGGTTTTGCAAGGCTGGACAATTGCTTACCGCGAACGTCACGCTCATCAAGAACATGCACGAACTAAACGAAACTTTTCCAGTCATTAAGGCTCTTCAAGTCTTCATTCAAGTCTCGACACCCAGCACGCGATGCTGAGAGCTTCTCTACACGCAGGGTGCTAAACCGACAGGCTTCATCACACGCACCGAGTAGAAGAATAGGTAGAAACTTGTCGGCGGGTGTCAGTGCTCACCAGAATGACCAGGTAACCATTTCAAGATTACGGTAGTGTGACAACTGCTATATCCTGAGATCAGCGTGGTCTTTTACTCTTGCTCAGATTGCTATTCTAGCTTTAAGTTGGTCTTTGTAGCACTATGCTCCATTGGCACGTAGCAGGCTACCATAAGTTCGCCTAGTTGTGTGCGGGCTCCGTAAACGCGATTTCCATGGTGCTCGTAAAGCCAGTCACAAACGCTGTGTTTCGGTTTGGCTTCATGCAATAGCCCTGGGCATAGGTTACAACGAATCCTGTGTATTACATTCTCCTTTACCCATTTTCCTTTCAGCCAATTAACATATGTCTGTCCAATCTTAATCCCAGCTGGTCTCGAAGGTTGACCGAACTCGCATAGACTTTATACTCGTACCAGCAGTCCACGATACCGCCGTGCAAACTACCCAATGGGACGATGGGATTCACCTGTGTGCAAAGCTTACCATCAACAGTGTTTTATTTGAAATATCAATTTAAAGAAGTTTATAAATGTATGACATAGTATTCATTACCATCTGCCTTGTATATCACAAATTTCTGATCACTCGGGCATTTTTTGTATAAGTCTGTGTTCATCTGCCTAACAAAATGTCTGCGCAACAGCCCACTGCACGCGAATGCTCTTCTCAAATTCCAGAATGACCCATTAGTGGTAATTTTAAACACCACTTGCAAGATGGCGCGTGCTTGGCATATATTTAGCACGCTTGAATGATGATAAGGATATTTTAGCACAACTACGCCCTCACGACTGGGGATCAGAATATAGACGCGCCGCTCTCCGCATTTCATGGCAGAAGGACTGCTTTCTTGGTACTAATGGAAGTGTGCAGAATTATATTGCAGTATGATGGCGGTTGTGGGTTTGAAGTAGAGTTCTGCAGTATATCTTCTACCTGATTTCTCTGCAAAAGGAGTACCGAGTAATGGAATCGACATATTTTGTGACGCGTGTTTCAGAGTACGAAAAATATTGGTGCGGCGTGAAATGATTTTTGTGATGAAATGTGACGATGAACACAGCACCGAAACGTCGAAATATTTCAACATAACTAATCCTTACCTGATGACGTCGTTTAACCAGTACCATTTCGCAAACTGAAGGTATTCTGGCTTCTACCAACTTCAAACTCACGCCAAGGGGCTGCAAACTACGCTGCTCCTTAGCACGGCCATTCTGGTGACCTCCCTAGTCATCAGCCTATACAGTCTCTGTCCTTCTAGCTATCGACATGCCTGTTGGGGTTATGTAAGTTCAGTGACATTTCTACGTGTAGGTGCTTTTTAGCACTGCACATGATGCGATTTGCATAGCCTTTCCGCGGAAAATGTATCAGTGCTTACTCTTTGCTAGTCGCTAGTCGCTAGTTGCACGTGTCAGGCCACACCATTATGAATAAAGTTGTATTTTTGCGCCTCGGACCACCTTCCATGAACGATAAACACCACTTTTTGCTGGCGGTTATATTAACCCGCCGTCTTGAATTGTGTTTTTTTGTGAATAACATTCAATTCTAGACCTTTTGCATTTTCACATGCGCTTGAAATAGGAAATTATTCTTTCGTAAAGCAATGGCTTATCGGCTGATAAAAAAATAACGAATTAGCCCTGTCACCGGGAACGCAAATCAAATTTCTGAAATCTGGAAAAATCAGGTTCTGGGGTAGATTAGTTCAACCAATCGGCTGAGCCATCCTCCAACCAAGAACACCCCTGCATGCGAGCGTTTCACATTGTACTGGGATCAAGGGGCGGGCCATAGACAAGAGTAGCTGAGGCTTGATGTCGCGTCAAGTCACTCACCGGAAGGATTTCCTAGACCGATGATCGGACCACATCTGGTTCAGGCTGCAGTGTGTTCATTCGCAGAGTAGCCACCGTGCGACGATCCTTTTAGAGCGTCCGTCTTCCGAGCCACTCCACCGTGACGGAGTGGGTTCGAGTCGCTCTAGACGCTCGCTATTTGCCCCTGGCAGATATGGCCTGCGACCAGTGGCAGCTACCGCGCTTAAGGTCCGTTGGAGGGGGTAAGATGAATCGTGCCGAGCATTGCGACGCTAGAAGGTTCAATGTTACGCATTTGAGGATTTTAAATCAAGCATTAGATATGATGAAATAACCTCTTAATTATAGCGTACTTTTAGGATGAAAAGACTGTTTAAGACAGCATAACTGATCCATTTAGTAATTATGCTCCCCAATACGTCATTGTTTCATTGCGTCATGCAACGTTTGCATGACGCTGAGGTCCTGTCAAACTAGTTTGAAATCGTCACTTACTTGTAGCACTTAAAACTCGTCGAGGTATGGTAGCACAGGCTGGTAAAATTGGCTTGGCAAAATATTGTTATTTGTTGCTGTTTTGGCTCTTTCTCGTGATACTTTTTGCATATCTCTCCGTGCCTTTTAGATGTTAACCTTCTTGTATTCACATGCTCGGTTATGACATTATTCTTCCATTTGACGAATCCATGTCCAATTTTTTTGTATTCTTCAGTACAAAACGGGTGTCTTGATTGAAGCTTGCATAGGGTGCTCAACATTTAGAGCCAACTGTAGTCCACTTAAGTTGGAAATCTCGCACACGGACGTCAGATCTGAATCGCCTGACGATGATTTTCTTTCTGGCCTTCAACACTGTCCGGCTGAAAGGGTGGCAGGATTTGAAAAGCATTGCTACAACGCCATGGATACCTGAATGGTCTTAAAATAGTCTTCACGGACTAGTCCGCACAACTTCGCGGGTGTATAGCTCAGAAACTAGAGGGTTTTAGGTAGGGGTGTGAGCTGTACCGAATGATCTTTAAAATGCTTAGTTTAACTTAACGTTCTACACAACTGTGGAATGCTTCCCTTGCCATTTTATCATGTTGCGGCTCTTCGAGACATATTTTCGGCAGGATTGTGCGTCATCTAGTGAGAAGAAATATCACTATAGTTATGCTTGACGGGACCGAGATAGCAGTACTAAGAGACAAAAGTAAAAGGCATTCATGACGCCATAGTGGCGAGATCTGTCGGCTCGCCAAAACGAGGTTTGCTGCTGGGTACGCGGCATTGTAATGGTCATTGCGTGTGTGTCACTCGACGGGTTGATGATTGGTTGGGCACGTGGAAATGTAGCTTCGTGCTTCGTTTCCCTGCAGAGACCTGTATTTTTATGTACGTGCATTTGTTTATTTCAACGGTGCTCTGGAAACAGCTGTCCTGAATTAAGGGCTGCATTTTCTATATGCATATATGCTTATATACCCTCAATATTCTCCAGAACTTCTGAAACCTTCGTATTGTTTGGGTGTGTATACATTTTATGATATCACAGCACCTTGTAAGAGCATATTGCATTTTTTCTTCATGGTTTGGAAGCAGAGTGGTTTGTTTATTCATACTATTGATCATTTGAATGGGTGATCTTATGCTGTCGTGGTCATAATCAGGTTTTGTATCTTAGCAATGGGGAACATTATTTTAAACCATTGTAGTTGGGGCCATGGGTGAATTACAGTATGCATGGAGGGGGAGGTTGTGATGAACATAGATAGGTAGACATCAGTGAACAGTATGGTACATTAAGCTCTTGCCACAGCATTCTGTCATGTAACAGATTTGATGAGTTCATGGTGGTATCAGAGCTATGCTGCAAGTGCTGCTCAGTATGTGCTCTGATTTCAGAAACTAATCCAATCAAAATGTTGGCTTTGCATTCATCTAGCAAATGAGCTTAGCAAATGAGAGGAAACTGTAGGAGGTATTCATGATATGCTTGGGCTAGACTGTAAAAAAGAAATCATGTTATGATAAAAACATGCCAGGATTACAGCAATATTGCTGTTTAAATTTCAGTACTTATATGCTGCAAGTGGAGCATAGTCACCACAAATGTCAGCTTATGGAGAGATATTTCTGGAATTGTGATGTTTGAAGAGAAGTCTTAGAGCAAATGTGCTTTAAATTTGTTCCATGCAAAGGCTATTTAATGTCATATGGGCACACAAATGTCACACAGCAACTAAATGTATGCAGACTGGTGCTCACATCCAGTATGCAAAAAATCCATTCACTGTGCAGGATAACCAGGGAGGGGGGTTTGAAAGTGGTCCAAAATGTAGTCTGTTATTTTTGAATGACTTCTAAGCAGTACAAACTCTGAAAGTTTTGAGTGCTTATTCCCTGAGTTTCTTTACAGTGTGCTCCTATAGGGAAAAGCTGTTTTTCCTCACAGCATTTTGAAATGTCTGCTTGTGGGCTGGATATTTCAATGTTGCAAAAGTAAATGTAATGTGTTCATTCATGTGCTGGCATTGGCACATGAGCTGTGGAAATGATAAACAAAGAATGGGCAAGTGGTGCTGAATGATTGTCATATGCACCCTAATCAAGTGTCACATGGTGGGCTGCATACCAGTTCTTGGACCAAATTACATGCAAGTTTAAAGCTTGTGGATCATTTTGCATCACCCTCTCTCATGTACCTGTACCATGTATCCCTCCCTTCAGTAAAAATATGTTTCTTCCCACTTGCCATCTAAGGTTACTTGTAACTCAGTATGAGCTTTTTAATGCCAACTGTTGTATTGTAGGCAACTACTGTAGCTTGAATCAGCAAAATATGTAACTTAGGGGAGCTTCTCACACAGATTGTCATGGTTCTTGATGTCAGCTGTTGTTTTCCCTTGAAGTGTGCACAACAAGCATAATCATTTATTGTTGCCTATCATCACTCCCCTGCCCCACCTGCATCAGACTGCATGATCAGTATGAACCATGAATTTGGCTGAAGCCTTGTGGGTACAATTTCAGATATATCATGGGCTTGAACCACATTCCCTCTTGTTCTGGCTGTGGCTGGGAAATGTGGGTGTGTTTACTGCCACGCCAACTTTTGTGGGAAGTTGAAATACAGGACACCTTTGTTGTGTACTCTCATCCCAGGAACCTTGCACTGCAGCCAAGCACTAGTGAAAGGATCAATTAAATCAGGGGAGGTCGCAGAAACTTTCCACATTTTAGCCGTGCATTCCTGTTAACTTGTCCTGAGATGCCTGTTCCAGAAGGTTTCCATCTTGTAACACTAAGTTCTTTCAGTATTTTGTACCTGTGATAATTGGTCACTGCCTCCCATCACTGGGTATTGTTTTGCATCACATTCTGAGCTTTTCTCGTCATGGGAAGTTGATCAACAAATAAAGAAAAGGTGTCAGATTGACCAGACTCCTCAGAATATTACAGAGATTCAGAATCAGATTGTGAATAAGGGAAGGGATAACACCTCGCCCTTCCCCATTGTCATGATGTAGCTGGCATACATGGTTGAATTACATGGTTCTGATTTAATTTTGGTACTTATGCATATATTTCATGTGATTTTCTTCTATCTTCGACCATCATAGTCTCCATAGTGTGTAGGCTGTGACATCATAAGGGAATTACAAAGGATGCACAGAAACGCGAAGTCCACGTTTTTGGTCATGTGTTCCAGGTAGAGCTGCAGATGTCGTCCAAGTCGGAAAACATGGCGGACGGGGTGTTCGTGCCGCCGCCGCCGCGTCTGGTGGAGGGCGCCCACTGCTCCTCCATGCAGCAGTACAACGACATGTACAAGCAGTCCATCGACGATCCCGAGGCCTTCTGGGGAGCAATCGCTGACCAGTTTTACTGGAAGGAGCGACACACGGGCAAGTTCTGTGACTACAACTTCGACGCCTCCAAGGGGAAGGTCTTCATCGAGTGGATGCGCGGCGCCAAGACCAACATCTGCTACAACGCCCTGGATCGGCACGTGCAGGGCGGCCACGCCGACCGCGTCGCCTTCTTCTGGTTAGTATGGTGTGGCAATTTCGCGGGCAGCTGTGGCCAGGTTAGCTCCAGTTGCTGGCGTCCGGCTGCTACCGCCTGGGGAGGCGGAAATGTCCGGGGCCGTACGCATCGTTTTCCATAACTCTTCTGACCGCACAAAGGCTGCACCCTTCGTTGTCAATGCCTCCGCCCCTGTTCAGCTAGGGCCATCGCTGTTTTCCGAGCGGACGTCGCGTCCCGGCGGCGCCTCTGTCCCACCCGCCGGCGTGTTCAGGGCGAGGAGAGGCGCCACTCGTGTGCCCCGCCATGACGCGGCCGCCCTCGCCGCCAGGGAGGGGAACGAGCCGGCCGACGAGGACCGGCTGACGTACGGCCAGCTGCTGGAGCGCGTGCAGCGCTGCGCCAGCGGCCTGCGCGCGCTGGGCGTGGCGCGCGGACACTGCGTGGCCGTCTACCTACCGATGATCCCCGAGCTGGTGGTGACGCTGCTCGCCTGCGCGCGCATCGGCGCCGTCCACTCGGTGGTGGTGCGTACCCCGGCGCTGGCTGCCGCCTACCGGCTGTCGTAGGAGCTGGGGCCGTCCTTGCGACAACCGGTGAAGGAGATGGCATGAGGACTACCACACGGACAAGCGGCTGACTTGTCAACCTTTGGCATGGGGATCACTCGGCAGGCTTTTAGCCTGTAATAGCTACAGGTCTGATAATAAGCGTTCTGTGCGCTGAAAAGAACGTAAATGCATGTGTCGAGTGACAAGGCGAGTCACGATAACGGGGCTCATAAGCGTTTTGTAATACAAGCGTGGCGGCAACTTGTGTGCGGTGTCTCGGCACGGATCAGCCGGTGACGGGCCGTTGATGGCTGCAGGCAGGCTGTCTGCAGCGGAGCGTTCTGGCCGCTGGTCGATGGTGAGGCGGGGTCAGGCCGCCGGGTGCCGGCCGTCTCTCGCTGGGGTCACGCCCTGTCGTCCGGGCCTAGCGCACCCGGCCGCCGCCTCCGCCCCACCTCACGATGCGCCCCCCTCGGCCGCAGTTTGGCGGCTTCTCGGCAGACGCGCTCGCTGACCGCGTCCTGGACGCCAAGTGTGACGTCATGGTGACGTCAGACGGCTTCTGGCGCGGCAACAAGCTGGTCCATTTAAAGGAGATCGCCGACCACGGTGGGTATTGATGCCGTTTTCTCTCCGACGGCTGACATCGGATAGTCATGTGAACCGCCGTGCGTCAAAGTTCAATTGCATTTTCTCATCGCCTCATCACATTTCTGATGGTCAAATGAGCCGGTGTCGTAAAGCTTTGATAACGTAATGAGACAACTCGCATTCCATGTTACTCATGGCAATCACGGCGAAATCCCAGTCCTCAAGCAGCCATTGTTGGATGGTTCGTGCCCCGCAGTAGGGCTATGCAGCGCCCTGAACGCCCCTCATGCTCACAACTATGCCCGGGTGTGGCCGTGTGTCTGCTCCCAGCGTCCGCTGGCCCTGCCAGCGTGTCCGCTGCGTGGGAGCGGTGTTGACGCGCCGCCGTCCGGCAGCGGCCGAGCTGTGCGCGGCGCGCGACCACCGGCTGCGGCGCGTGGTGGTGGTGCGACACCTGCCGCGGCTGCACCAGCACCAGCACCCAGCCAACGGCGCTGGAGGCGGCGACGCCCAGCCGGCCAAGCGCGCTCAGTTCGACGTTCAGGTGAGCGGGCCGTCAGTGGCCGACGCGCCGCTCCGGCTCCCGCCAGACGAGGCGCGGCGTCGGGCGCGCCCGCGTGGCTCGCTGCAGTGGTGTCGCTTCGTTCACGGTGTGCCGGCGTTACCGCCACAGGGGCCCGGCTGGGTCCGGCAGGGACCCGGCTGTGGCGGAGATGTGTGCTGAGCCACGTGTGCCGCCGCCACCGGAGGCGTTCGCGTAAAGACCGAGTGATTGGAAGCCCTACGTTCATGATGAAAAGCGAGTAGCTCATTTACCGCTGAAGGACCCTCCCTGACCCCGGTTTCCTGGCCGCGGTGACGACGCTTACAATCAGGGTAGCTGCGTGTACTGATAGAATAATCAATGCTGTTTTCTTGTCAAGATGCTTGATAAGTAGAAATGAAATGGAATATTATTTATCTGCGTACAAGCAGCGATGCTATTGGACTTGTTCGCGTGGCGGGCAGCTGGCCGTCGGCTTGAGCTGGCCGCGGCTGGAGGTGTGACGCCCGCCTGGAGGTGTGAGGCGCCCGCCGGTGGGAGCTGGCCGCAGCTGGCCGTCGGCTTGAGCTGGCGGCAGCTGGCCGCCGGCTGGAGGTGTGACCCGACTCGTTCATCGGCCGGCAGGCCAGCTGGGACGCCGCCCGTGACCTCTGGTGGGAGGACATGATGAGCGAGGCGGCGCTAGAGTGCGAGCCGGAGTGGATGGACGCCGAGGACCCTCTCTTCATGCTCTACACCAGGTACGCGGCCGACGCTCCGCTGCTGCCGGCCCGCTCGCTGGCTGACGGTCAGGTGCGGTGTCAGTCGCTCCTGGAGTAGTGAAGCTTGTAGCGTGTCGGAGTCTCGGCGCCGCGTAGAGCTGCTGTCGTTGGCTCTGGGCGCGTCGCAGCCCCAGCTGCGTGGTGGACGTGGCTTCTGTCCGGTGGGGCTCCAGGCGCGCCGTGGTCCAGGCTGCGTGATGGGCGTGGCTTCTGTCCAGTGACTGGAGCGCTCAGCGAAACATTCAGTCACTTCCTGAGCATGTTGTGACCACCTAATGGATGTGCTCTTGCGAGCTGACGCATGATTTGCGACCACAGATCTCAGACACCTTCTATGTCATTAGATAATGACGTCCTAGCCCAGACTGTCGACTGTATGGGGCGGTGTGCAGCTGCAGTGGCGGATCCGGTACGCGTGCCCTGTGGGTGTGACGACCTCCGCCCCGGCTGTCGTCAGCGGCTCCACGGGCAAGCCGAAGGGCGTGCTGCACACCACTGCCGGCTACATGCTGTACGCGGCCACCACCTTCAAGTACACGTTCGACTACCACCTGGAGGACGTGTACTGGTGCACGGCCGACATCGGCTGGATCACCGGACACTCCTACGTCGCTTACGGGCCCATGCTGAACTGCGCCACGTCAGTGATGGTGGGTGCATAGACTGGGTCGTGGGACGGCGCGCCGCTCCTGGGCGCTGATGGTGGTCTTATGATGGTCTGTATGATGGGCGACGGTGTGTGATCACGCACGGCCGTGTTGCTCTGGCCGTGACGGTGGGTGCTCCTCGTCCAGTGCTGGTCAGCTCGTGTGATGTCTGATCGCCCCCCCCGAGCCAGGAGCGCGATGCACGGTTCCCATTAATCCGCGTCTGCATGACGCCAGTCCATGTATCCGAAGTATCGGCTTTCTTGGCAACTAAAAAATAGCGTGAGCGGGTCTGCCGTGATCGTCCGTGTTGCGCTGGGTCTGATCGGCGGCTCGCTGCGGTGTGTGCTCCCGCCGCGGCCCGGCTGGCTGTCGGTTTCGGGAGCGGCGCTGGGGCCGGGCCGGCGCCGCTCCCGCCGCCGCCCGGCTGGCTGTCGGTTTCAGGAGCGGCGCGGGGGCCGGGCCGGCGCCGCTCCTGCCTCCGCGCGGCTGGCTGCCGATGGCAGGAGCGGCGCTGGGGTCGGGCTGGCGCTAACCCGGCGGTCCCGCTCCGCCAGTTCGAAGGCTCGCCATTCTACCCCAGCGGCGAGCGGCCCTGGCAGATTATCGACAAGTACAAGGTATCCAAGTTCTACACGGCGCCCACGGCCATCCGGGCGCTCATGCGACTGGGCGACGATATCGTCACAAAGTGAGTCTCGTTGTGGGCCCGTCGCCGCCGCCGCCGCCGCAGGCACGCCCGTTGCCTGTCCGAGACTATCATAAACTGACGAGAACGTTTATAAATTGACGAGAGAATTTCATGAACTGACGAGAAAGTTTCAGCTGTAGAGTTCGATGAATGTGAACTAGGTAAATGATGCCGCATGCCTTTCACAGGTCCTGCGAAAGGCACGCGGCGGCGTGAGCTAATCGGACATTTTATAAAGATACGCGTCTTCTGGAGAAGCGTGCCATTCATACGGCTCATATATGTACTTCATAGGGCATATGAATTGCCATTCAGAGGGCATCAGCGCGTGCCATTCATAGGGCATTGACAGATGTGACGCGGCACTGTGCACGGACGCTTCGTCGCGCGCCATTTGGCATGCGTGAGCGGCGAGCGCGGCGCTGTGCCAGACGTGAGCCGCGCCCCACCGGCTGTCCCTCCCGCCCGCGCAGGCACAGCCGCCAGAGTCTGAAGGTGCTCGGCTCGGTCGGCGAACCGATCAACCCAGAGGCGTGGCTGTGGTACCACCGCGTGGTGGGCGGCGGCCGCTGCGCCGTCGTCGACACCTTCTGGCAGACGGAGACGGGCGGCCACGTGCTGACGCCGCTGCCGGCCGCCACGCCCACCAAGCCCGGCTCGGCGTGTCGGCCGTTCTTCGGCGTGCAGCCGGCGCTGCTGGACGAGAACGGCGCCGAGATCGCCGGCGAGGGCGAGGGCTACCTGGTGTTCCGCCGGCCTTGGCCTGGCATCATGCGCACCGTCTACGGCAACCACCAGCGCTTCGAGACCACCTACTTCAAGAAGTTCAACGGCTTCTACTGCACGGGTGACGGGGCGCGTCGCGACGCCGACGGCTACCTCTGGGTGACGGGCCGGATAGACGACATGTTGAACGTGTCCGGGCACCTCCTCTCCACGGCTCAGGTGAGAGGAGGCAGCCGGAGTCGGCGCCGGGCCGGCCGACCGCGGTCAGGACGTGTGGGGCAGGCTGGGAGGGCGGGGTGTCCGGGTGGAGTGCGTGGAGCACGCGCTGCTGGACGTGCGAGCGCGCGTTGGCGTCCGAGGTCAGCGCACAAAGCCCCGAGTGCGTGTGTTTGTGGCGCACCTGGTGGGAGGCATTGTGGGGTGTTTGTCGTCTCAGCGAGATCTGGTGCGCGATGTGGGGCACACTGGTGTTTCTCTTTCCGGCGAGAATAGGCCACTGCGTCTGTTGCCCGGGATTGTCCTCCAGCGCGCATGGGTTTTAACTGTGTAGTGCGTTGGGCAGTTTGCCCTGTGTGGTCAGTTATCGGTAGGTGGCCTTGTGCGGCCAGTTTACCCGAGTGTTTACCTCCTCGCGGACAGTTGGGCGGGGTATGACCGTATGTGGGCAGCTTACCCCTGATGTGGACCTTGTGCGTCCACTGTCAGCGTGCACCACAGCGTGGATGGTGCAGCCACGCGCTGTCTCTGCACGCCGCGGGCAGCTTTACCACAAACACCGTGCCTGTTCGCACCGTCTGTGGAAAGTTCGTGAACTATTACGATGTATACTCTAGTGTAGAAGGTTTGCCAAAGTGTGCCCAATGTCTGAACGTGTGCCCCTGTCTTGAGGTCGTGCCGGATGGCTCAGCACCCCAGCGTGCCTGTTGTCTGAACGCCATCCTGCCTTGGCCAGATCGAGTCGGCACTGATAGAGCATCCCAGCGTGTCGGAAGCGGCGGTGGTGGCGGTGCCGCACAGTATTAAGGGTGAAGCCGTCTACTGCTTCATCACCAACAAGCAGGGCGAGCCATGGACAGACGAGCTGCGGAAGGAGCTGATCCTCAAAGGTCAGAAAGGCGCCGGCTGGCGGCGACGATTGGCGCACTGGGAATACGGGCGGTGGAGGGAGGGGGGCAGCTGTGGCTCGGTCTCCCCAAAGACCCGATGACATCGACTGAAATAACACCACATGACTGTCGCACTTTTCAAGCGTGGCTGCTTCTGCCTTGTGCTTCGTTTGTTGCACAGCTGAGATATATCTGTTCCCGTACGCTAAGGCTTGGCGAGCGATGCCGTGACCCTTGACCCAGCGTTGTGGGACACGTGGCGCGTGTGGCACGCCGCGGCCGCTGGCTGAACCGCACAGTGCTCGGCTTCCGGCGGCTGGTCGGGCTCGGTGGCGACCCCCGCACCGGTCCGTGACCTCCCGCCCGACCCCGCAGTGCGCGAGCGGATTGGCGCGTTCGCCGCGCCCGACTACCTGCAGTGCGCGCCCGGCCTGCCCAAGACACGCTCCGGCAAGATCATGCGCCGCGTGCTGCGCAAGATCGCGCAGGACGACCGCGACCTGGGAGACGTGAGCACCATGGCCGACGAGTCGGTCATCGCGCTCCTCTTCCAGCACCGCACCGCGCAGCTGCTGTAGGCGTCGCCGTACGCCTGTGAGCCCGCTCGGCAGCGGCGGCGGCGGCAGAGGCCGACGCTCGGCCGAGCGGTAGGGGGCTGGGTGGGCCGGGCGGCCCGCGCGGCGGCGGTGGTGACTGGGCCAAGCGTCGAGCTGTGGGTGGTGGCGCTCGGCGCCGGTAGTCGGCGGTGGTAGGTGTCCCGTCCACTAGTTGGACATAACCCCGGTGGCGGCGCGATCAAAGACGGGCCGGCGGCGCTGGGAACTGTGAGCCGGCCGCAGGAGTTGGCAGTGACCAGCCGTGCGTCCGCAGGCCCGTCGCAACGGTAACGTACAAACCGCGAACAAATTCGTCTCGTGTTGAACTCTTATTTAAAGACGATCGTGGTCGGGCTCAAGTAGCGATGGCTTCTGCGCGGGTTCGTGATATTTTTATGCCTCATTTTTAGGTAAGCACTGCCGTGTGAGCAGGCGCGAGGCTGGCAATTCGGTCCGTCTTAGGCAGGCGTAGGGCGGCAGTCACGCGTCGGAGACGCACCAGGCGGGCCTGTCCGACCTGGCCGCGCGCTCCGGCGAGCCAGCCGGCCGCACATGGACTGTGACCAGGCTTAGTGACGGGCGGAAGAGCTGCTGGCGACTGTCGCTGCCCAGGGCAGGAGGGCATCGCAGCGACCGGACCGGCCATGTGCAGAGTCCGCTGTTCGTCTGAATCTCAACTGTCGAGTTCGGCGGCACGGCGGCGGCAGTGGCCTGCCGTAGTCGGCACTGCCGTAAGCATGCCTCGCCCGCGCCGCGGTAGCGACGGCGCGCCTCCGCTTCGCTCTACCTCCCTGCCTGCTCGTCCGTTTTACCTCGGTCGATAGTGTTTGACCTGCCGACACTGCTTGCGAGACGTGGCGGGCGCGTGACGTCGGCCGGGGCGCGGTCGGGTGATTGGACCGAACGACCGCGGCGTCGGCCATGTCCTGCGTGGTCGGGTGATTGGACCGAACGACCGCGGCGTCGGCCATGTCCTGCGCGTCCCGGCTCGAATACGAATGGCTGCGTTGTGATCTGGTGTGTTTGCTGTCGTACCTGCACGCGCAGCGCGTGGTGGGAGCAGGTGACGGGGACGTGAGAGGACGTCTGTCTGGGAGGAGGCGAAGGTGCTGCGAGACCGGGGTAAGGCGCCACATGGGGTTGGGCAGCTGGGATTTACTCAGCCATTCGGCAGGAGATTGAGCAGCCGCGGCTGCCAGCGTGTTTGTTCAGGGGCACTGCCATAATCCTTTCGCACATCCTTTTGCCGTGCAGTTGCAAAGATGAACACCATTATTATCCGTAGCTGGTGATAACTTGTGTAAAGGTGAAAGTTATTAGGCCAGATAGTGAGACGCCCATTAATCCCATGAGATCGCTACATCCTGGGTCGAAATGGATCACGCACGGGGGCGCAGCCACGATGGTTGGGGGGGGGGGGTAAAGCTCGGTGACTACGCATCACGCCGATTTGTACTTCCTCCCTGAAGTTTTTTTTCCTGTGAAAAAAGAGCCCCCCCTCACCTTTGGCTGCGCCCCTGGTCACACGCGTCAATTATGATGGAATGATGGAGGTTCAAAGTTCAGGTAACGTCTGTCTTGTAAATCACCTGAAGTGACATGAGCAGAGCTCTATCGCCTTAGTATCATCTCGCACATCAAGTGCGTGACCCTTATTCCATCTTACGTCAAGATCGCGACACGGTCGGAGGCCGCACATTATGTCCCGAAATTAGGTTGGAGTGGTGAAACTTGAGGAGACGGCAAATATAATGTTTTTACCCTTCAATGTGCTTTACACATGTGCGACCAAAGTCGAGAGTGGTGATAGTTTTGATGGCCCAGCGAAGTTGAGAAATTAAGCAGCAGTTAGAGTACTGCATTTGGAGAGTATCATGGTAAAACATCGACAGGTTCAAGGAGTCGTATAACCCATACGGGGCAAGCTCACCCCAAAAGCCAAAAACCTGACTCCAGGGTTACTATTGCCTGTCTGGGCTTGGCAAAAAATATCATGAACAGCTGTAAGTAAATTGTATTTGAAGCTTCTTGGGGCAAGAACGATCCGGATCCGGGGCTTCGTATTGGCCGCGCGGAGACAACGGCTGCAACCGCAGGAAATCGATCACCGCAGGTTATCAACTTTTAATTGCGATTGTTTATCGGTACCGGCGATGCACGATGTAGGAGCCTCACAACGCGCCTGCGCTGCGCCGCCACCACGGGGCCAGAGTCTCACCAATGGGGAAGCTATCACTGGCTCGGTGCGGGCACCCCTGGCGGACACCCACCCCAGTCTAGGGGTTTGCGTTGGACTAGCACTGGGCCGCTGACCTGTTTGTGGGTCGTGTTTTGTATGTCATTTATTGTTCGGCGTTATCAACATGCACGGTGGAATTCCGGGGTCTCGGTGAATGCTATTTATATGTTCGCATAGTGTCACATTTTCATATACCAAGGCATGCTCGCGCGATAGGCTATTTACAGATGGACAAGATGGATATGAGCATCAGAAAAGCTTGCTAAAATGGTATCAAAGTGTCTTATGTCACAATATTTGTGACGGGATGGAACGATTGCTTGCTTAATGATGGTATGTTGCCCTGGTGCTCGTTTGAGTTTGGTCCATTGATCCGATGTTTCAGCCACACTTGCAAGAGCTTGCACTTGTAAAACGCACTCGTAAAAGAGCTGTCATCGCTGTAGAACACGACTTCTCACGCTGGAAACCAGTGCACAAACAGTTTCCTCCTCGACACAGTTCAGGAACAAGGCATGATCAGCTGCTGGAGGGTCTCGACCGGGCTCCGCTGCCCTATCCACCTCGCTGGTGGGCCTCGACCGGGCTCCGCTGTCCTATCCACCTCGCTGGCGGGCCTCGACCAGACTGCGTCGCCATATCCACCTCACTGGCGGGCCTCGACCAGGCTCCGCCGCCATATCCACCCCACTGGCGGGCCTCGACCAGGCTCCGCTGCCCTATCCACCTCACTGGCGGGCCTCGACCAGGCTCCGCCGCCTTGTCCACCTCGCTGGCGGGCCTCGACCAGACTGTGTCGCTCTATTCACCTCACTTTGCACATGCAGCCGCCTCTCGCTCTCGCGCCTCCCTGCCACCTCACTCTGCACATGCGGCCGCCCCTCGCTTGCCGTGCTTCCCTGCCTGATCTTCCGCTGCAGCTGATCGCTCTGAGCGGCGGCTGGCACAGCGGCGGGCTGGAGACCCGCCTTCCTGGCCGGCGCCGGCCAACGACGCAGCCCGTCGGTGAGTTCCCTCCGTGCGTGGGCGATGCTGCCGATGGCGGCCACGCGCCTCGCCAGCCCGTCGACTGGCACACGGCCTCTGGTGGCCGGCGGACGCTGTCAAGACCGCCGTCTGGCGCATCTTAGCCGCCAGCCCGTCGACTGGCACACGGCCTCTGGTGGCCGGCGGACGCTGTCAAGACCACCGTCTGGCGCATCTTAGCCGCTTCTCATCGACTGGCATCCATCACCCCCTGGTCCACTCACCCCATAGCGCCTCCTATACAGCACTCGCCGGCGTTCTCAGCGCCACCTATGCACAGCACCTAGGACGTTCGGCGCATGCCGCAGCGGGCCTATACTCGCTCCAGCTCCATGGCGTGGTTGTCGAGGCCACGCAGCCGGTCCCGTTGGTGCATCTGGTGCTGGAGCGCCAGCAGTCTGCTGCGCGCCTCCCTGTCGCCGGGCCCCCAGCTGGGTAGCGGCTGGAACGCCTGCTTCGGCCTCTGTGGACGCACGGCGGACCGATTCTCAGCTCTGCTTCGCACCGCTCTCTCGCTCTCGCTCATCCCTTCTCTCCACTCTCTCTCTCTCACTCTCTCAAAGATTGAGAGAGAGGGAGAGAGGCGCACAGCCCAGCGACGACCAACTACTTATAAATAATCTAATATATTAGCGGCTGGCCGCAGCAAGGCAACAGCGTGGCGAGGCGATTAGAGAAACTGAAGCACCACGTTGCACTAAGCGCGTTGGTGGGTGGATACCGCAGCCCAGTTACAGCTGTGTGGTGAGTGCCGCGGTTACATGCCTGTTAAACGCCGAGGTGACATTGTGCTGCCTAAAAAGAACGAAATGGCTTTCTTTGTTTTGTTCTAGCTTGTTTTGTTCTTGTCCTATCGCTAAGACGACACAACCTTCTTAAAAGTATCTCTTCGCATCAGCGCCGTCAGCGATATTTGACAGTGATGGTAGCACACAGTTTCCGTTTGCGGTATCACGCCGCTACTCACCCATCTGCAGAGGTAGTAGAGCATGGTGCACAGTGCCCAGAGCGGTATCTGCACCAGGGAGACGCCGACCAGGCCCCAGCCGACGTAAATGGCCCACTCTGGGAACTCGTAGTCGCCGTACGTGGGCGGCTTATATTCGTACATGGAGTACGCGAAAATGGACTGAAATTTAAAAAAAAGTTTGAATGACCGACTCAACCAGCATGGCGAAGGGCAGAAATTTATTTTTCATATACTGGAAGCGACCTATCAATGGTGGCATGCCAGAGAATATTTGCAGTCAAAAACGCTCTCCAGAACTGTGAACGTTATAATTAGGCATGAGCACATTAAAAATCTTCCATTTGATAAGACGGTACTAGTGGCCTTATTCCCCGCAGAATAACCGGGAGAATGGATATATATATATATATATATATATATATATATATATATATATATATATATATATACGCATATGCCTGGATATTTCGAGTTCACGTCTTCATGGAAACAAAGATCAGTAGTAAATTCAATTTCAGACGCAATCTGAAGTTTGTACTGATACTCGTTCCGACAAAGGCATGCAGTGGAAATATAAATGCATCTATCTCTCCATCCTCCTGGTTATTGCACGAAGAACAAGGTTATTAGTACTGTCCTATCTTTATGCATAATTCTCCTGGCAAATGCACTTACCAACTCACGTAACAACTCAATGTAAAATGATCCCTTTTGGGGAACTGCGTAATCTTGCAGTTTCTCGAGAGGGATTATTTTACATTCCGCGTGTCGGCTTGTGCCACCCCGTATAAAGAAGACTCAGTGATGACATCCTCACTGTAACTCGTTATGCCATTGATTGATGCCGAAACACGGTGGCGTAAACCTTGCGGGAGAAGAGCTCGCCCCCCCCCCCCCCGAACGGGGGATCGCAAGCCTCTGCTCTCTTGATTGTATGGATTGTTCTCAAAACTGTTCGTGCTGGACCCAGCGGAGTATGACATCGGATAGCTCGCTTCAGGCTCAATAGGCGTTATTGAACGCACAGCAGTGCATTTGGCCTTTGATGGTACCACATATTTTCGCTCATACTAGAAGTCGAGAGTGAACGCGTACGATGGGCTCCAAAACAGAACATAATTTACGTATGCCTGTGACGGATGGCGTACGTAAAGCATGGCTGTGTCGTCATATTACCGCGACCTGGGTTTGAATTACTGACCTCTGTCCAGGCTCGGGTTGGCCTGCATTGAGCTCATAACGCTAGCTGCAAATTACCAGGAAGCGGAAGTCTCAGCGGGCTATGCACTAGCATTATTGAAGCCTGGGAGCCAGCGGTGACCTGATTTTGATAAGACCAGGCAAGTCGTGATGCATACCAGTGCCGATTAACACACTGCAGCCCCGAAGGTGTGTCTAAACTTAACAAAGTGGGGAACAAACTCTCCCAACTCCGGTCGTTTTGAACTGATCTAGGATGAGCTGAGGTTTTGATACGGAATATTATAAATTTTTGCTGAGAGGTTCTGGCGCCTCAGGTTAACACCGTTTCTTGTTTCTCGTAGTCATGATGCAAAATAAAGAACCGTCAACCTCGGCGCGGCATTTCATGCCGGATCAAGCTTATGAAATTATGGGGCTTAGCATGAGTTCATGAATTCAATTCGATTAGTTTCATTCAGTAATCAAAGAAAACAAATCATTTGACGAAATTTCAATGATCAATTTTTACTGCCAATGGAGCGACAAAGTTTCTCACTTGTCGTTTGTTACATGGGTCTGCACCAGCATCAAGGTCCTGATATATCTGCATTGGTTTTGTCTGCCTGTGCAAACGCTCCGCATACATTACATACTACAGGATTGTAACATGGAAAGAACACAAAATCTAACGATGGCGGTCGGTGTAGCCATGCGGCTGCGACAACGGAAGTAAGCAGCCAGCGTTGGTTTATCGGAGGGGGGAGGGGGACGGGAGCGGTGCGCTCAAGCCGAGGCTCGGCTGGGAGTAGGGCAAGTTCATGCTTTTGCCTTACCAGTTATAGAACGCCCGAACGGCTCTGAAACTGTAGCCGAAGTAAGGGTGCCTGGCACGCCAAATCTCGCCGTGACGTTGCCCTGCCCTTTGGTGTCGCTTTACTTCGCGGGGGAACTTCCAGGACACGGAGCCCGGAGGCGGTCCAACGGTTGCATACCTTTTGTTTTATGTAGGTCCCAACCCCCTTACAGCGTTCAATGAACCGCTGGAAACCGGCATAGACCTACAATTTGTAAAAGACATCTCAACCGGAGGAATAAAAACCTGACACATCCATGTCTCCGTTAAAGAACTTGGCTCATCCCGATTGCCTTTGTACTGGTTGTGCTGTCCTCAGTGGTGCTTGACATTGAACTGAACTTTTTAGTTATTTCAGACTTGCCAAACTGGACTCGATTAACGCCCGTTTCAACCACACTACCCTCGCGCCCGCACTGTTCGCCTGGAAAGCTCGACCCGCTTAGCTCCTCGGGCCAGCCCGCCGTGTCAGGTCTCACTCACCGCCAGCATCACGGGCGACACAAACGCCCAGCAGACCTTCCAGAAGATGCTGGGTCGGAAGCCGACCATGAACTGGAGGTTGTCGGCGAAGCGCCGCACGCCGTACACCCACATGATGCCGACCAGCTCGAACACGGCGATCACCATGACGCCCAGGCCGCCGAAGTTGTCCATCAGGTGCAGGATGTACGGGCCCGCCTGATGACACGCGCGCGATCAGTAACAGGAGGACGTGTGCATCGGGTGCAGGATGTACGGGCCCGCCTGACGACACGCACGCGATCAGTAACAGGAGAACGTGTGCATCAGGTGCAGGATGTACGGGCCCGCCTGACGACACGCGCGTGATCAGTAACGGGAGGACGTGTGCATCGGGTGCAGGATGTATGGCCTGTCTCATGACGCACACGCTGTCAGTAACGGAAGAAAGTGTCCATCAAGTGCGGGTTGACGGGCTGTCTGTTGACGCACACGTGGTTAGTAACTGTATAACGTGGCCATCAGGCGAAGGGTGCACGGCCTATCTGACGACACACGCGCGATCAGTAACGGGAAAACGTGATATCAGGTGCAGGGTGTACGGGCTCGCCTGATGGCACGCACGCGATCAGTAACGAGAGAGCATGTCCATCAGCTGTGGAATGTACGGGCTGTCTGATGAAACACGTGCGATCAGTAACGGGAAAACGTGTTCATTAGTTGCAGGGTGACGGGCGACCTGATAATGCACAAGTGGTCAGGAACAGCCATGAAGGGTTCATTCCTCTCTCCAGTGTGGTCACTGCCCAGGCAATTTTACCTCCTGGTTGTGTCGCTCAGTTTCGCCACCCATGACAGACCCATACGGCTAAGCTGCAGCCGGCGTGATTACCCCGGAAATCCCCCACGTTTTACATGTCTACCTTTCGGCGAAGTGATCTGCTGTTCTTGTGACGGTCGTAACTGCGTGATCGTGCAAAAAGATGGTCTTTTCGGGGCTTCCATTCCCAGCAATAATTCAACAGTTCCTTGCGTTCTGTATGTCATCTCTGATCAGAAAAAAGAATGTGTTGCGCTCTACATTTAGAGTACTTCAGGAACTTCACTTCCGGCGACGTGGATGGGCTTCGACCAGCTGTCGGTCGATGGGTTATGTGCAGCTACTGTGTCCGGAATCCCTATGACTTCCCAGCCCTCCTCTGTAAGCCGACCTCTGACCTCTGATCAGCACAATAGTGAAAGTGGCACGGACGAGTCGGCTGCCGATGTCGTATCGTCGACACTTAACGAATCGTGGACAGCTCAGAATTCTAAATATTATGCCGTCTTTGGATTGCGTTTACGTCGTGATTACCTGAGTGGGATGGGTGTTTTGTTGACTTCCCGTTTTTTCGTAACGTTAGTAATTGCCAGGGTAGCAACCACCTCTTTGCCAATGTGGTAACTCCCAGTGTCTTTCAAAGGACCAAATATTACCTGACTTCGTAAAACATGGTTAATCGAAGCGCCAGGTCTCTAGGCTTCTTTAAGCGCGTGGAGCCCGGACATACATGTAAATAGAACATTTGTGTGCACTGCCATACCACATCCAACGCTATGTTGGCTTGCTCGACGCTACCTGAACACCCTGCCTGCGTGAATGTATACGATGCGTGTGGCTGTGCGACACGTACCTGGGAGACGCACGGAAGCCCCATCAAGAAGCAGGAGCTGGAGGCGATGAGGGTGACGAGCGCCTTGCTCTTTCTTGTGGACGGAAACGCGTCGTAGACGGCAGTAGTCACCGTCTCCAGCAGGGCAAACTGCGGAATCAGGAACGCTTCATGACGCTCGGCCTGTGTGTCCTAAACATCATGGAGTCAAAGGCCATCATGGTCTTCACCAGCTAAGTGAACCAAGGCCAACATTAAAAACAATGTACCTACGCTCAGATGCTGCATCATAAGTGAGAAGGCTAGGGGGCAGGTTTTGCAAGGCGTGTACTTTTGTGTGTCGCTATGAACGCTGCTGAGCTTTGTAAATCGTGACTTATCCGTTCTGTCCCCTGTGATGGTCAAGCACAAGTCCACCTTCTTTGTCGCTAATTTAATCTGGCTTTTGCAAGCCACACAGGACCGTTAAAGAATATGCAGATAGTGCTGGATCAAGGCGCGCCAAATTGTACAGTAAAGGCTATGCTGATCTCATCAGGATCTGTTTGTTTACCCGTGGGCATTGGCGCTATGCATTGGAAGCTAATTAGCCAATAGTCTACGAAATATAGGTACATTTTACGAGTGATTTTAGTGCATGCGCATCCCCAACGTAGCACGGGCCACACGTTATGTGATTGCGTAATGAATTAGCAAATGCAACGAGGAGACAGTAAAAATATAGCCCACGTTGTGATGCGTTTGAACTCATTTAGGCATTCGCTACGTTTGACACGATCCCTGTGGGGTTCGCTCGCAGCGAGTCAACAGCCACATACCTCCGTGTCGAGCCCGAGGGTGAAGAGCATGATGAAGAAGAGGACGGACCAAATCTGCCAGCCGGGCACTGCGCCGATGGCCTCTGGGAAAGCGATGAAGGCCAGGCCCTGGCCTGACTTGACCACCTGGTCCACCTTGACTCCTGCAGACTGGGCCATTGAGCCCATGATGCTGAAGACGGCCACACTCGCGATGATGGAGGTGATGAAGTCCAGCGAGGTGATCAGCATGGCGTCGATGTGCACCTTGTTGTTGAACTTGTTGTAGGAGCCGAACATGATGATGCCTCCCCAGGACACGCTCAGCGAGAAGAACATTTGCTCAGCCGCCTTCTGCCATACCTGAGCGGCAGGGAATAGACGGCTGGTCACGGCTGGGTTGTTGAGAGATGAGTGAGGGTGAGCGACGAATCACAGCTGTGTGGCTGATGATGGGTTGAGAGGTTAAAAGGCAGCAGCCGACCGGTGGCATACCCGCTGGACATGACATCGGGTCGATGGGTACATCTTATCAATGGACCTCACGCAGTCGGCAATGGCGATAAACGTCCCAAATGAGTTGATTGCCGTGAAGCTTTGCCTTGATGTGGCGTCAAACCTTGCAATATTCTGCTGCGCTTACGTTGATGTCCTTGAGCTTCTCCCACTCGGGGATGAAGAAGAACTTGACGCCTTCGATGGCGCCGGGCAGCGTGCAGCCGTACGCCAGGATGGCGATCAGGAAGATGTAGGGCAGTGTGGCTGTCACGTACACCACCTGCGGCAGCCCACCGGCGCCCGGTCACTAGGCAGCAGACCTCAGCCCACCGGCGTCCGGTCACCAGGCGGCAGAGCTCAGCCGGCGCCCGGTCACCCGGCGGCAGAGCTCAGCCGGCGCCCGGTCACCCGGCGGCAGAGTTCAGCCGGCGCCCCGTCTCCAGGCAGCAGAGCTCAGCCCACCGGCGTCCGGTCACCCGGCGGCAGAGCTCAGCCGGCGCCCGGTCACCCGGTGGCAGAGTTCAGCCGGCGCCCGGTCACCAGGCAGCAGAGCTCAGCCCACCGGCGTCCGGTCACCCGGCGGCAGAGCTCAGCCCACCGGCGTCCGGTCACCCGGCAGTAGAGCTCAGCCCACCGGCGTCCGGTCACCCGGCGGCAGAGCTCAGCCAGCGCCCGGTCACCCGGCGGCAGAGTTCAGCCGGCGCCCGGTCACCAGGCAGCAGAGCTCAGCCGGCGCCCGGTCACCCGGCGGCAGAGCTCAGCCCACCGGCGTTCGGTCACCCGGCAGTAGAGCTCAACCGACCGGCGCCCAGTGCAGGCGGTGCTGCACGAGCGGGCGCATCATGTGGAACCGTTTTAGGTTAACACGTGTGAAACTGGCACCAAGAGCTTTACGGTTATGGCGTGGGTAGCGCTAAATAGCCAACAGTTCTCACGGTGCACCATTGCTTGGTCTGCTTACGTGCCAGTGCACACAAGCAGACTTGGTCTACTTACGTGCCAGTGCACACAAGCAGACTTGGCGCATTCGTTTGATTTTGCGCCGTTGATGCTCGTCTATTTATCATCGCATGATGCTTGCAATTCTAGATCACAAGACTCGGCCTCTATCATGATCACGTTTATGTGCCAAATGGCTAGGGCACGGCATCGTTCTCTGCAGCGGGTTCGGTTTGGGCCGGGCGGCCGCGTCCGCTCCTCACCTTGCCCGAGCTCTTGACGCCCTTCATCAGACAGAGGAAGACGATGATCCATGAGAGCAGCAGGCACAGCGCCAGCTGCCAGTTGATGTCGCCAATGACGCCCGGCGTCTCCAGGCCGACGTCCGTCACACGCAACACGTAGTTTCTGCGACCGGGAGCGATCGAGGTCAGTGGTCTGGGAGTGGTGGGGGTCCTGGACCGGGAGCGATGGGGGTCACTGGTCTGGGAGTGGTGGGGGTCAGTGGTCTGGGAGCGGTGGGGGTCACTGGACCGGGAGCGGTGGGGGTCACTGGTCTGGGAGTGGTGGGGGTCAGTGGTCTGGGAGCGGTGGGGGTCACTGGACCGGGAGCGGTGGGGGTCACTGGACCGGGAGCGGTGCGGGTCACTGGTCCGGGAGCGGTGGGGGTCACTGGTCTGAGAGTGGTGGGGGTCACTGGTCTGGGAGTGGTGGGGGTCACTGGTCTGGGAGTGGTGGGGGTCACTGGTCTGGGAGTGGTGGGGGTCACTGGTTTGGGAGCAGTGCGGGTCACTGGTCCGGGAGCGGTGGGGGTCACTGGTCTGGGAGTCGTGGGGGTCACTGGTCTGGGAGTGGTGGGGGTCACTGGTCTGGGAGTGGTGGGGTTCACTGGTCTGGGAGCGGTGGGGGTCACTAGTCAGGGAGCGGTGGGGTCACTGGTCCGGGAGTGGTGGGGATTAGTGGTCCGGGAGCGGTGGGGGCCACTGGCCCAGGAGCGGCCGAGGTCGCTGGTCCGGGAGCGGTGGGGGTCATCAGTCAGGGAGCGGTGGGGGTCACTGGTCCGGGAGCGGTGGGGTCACTGGTCCGAGAGCGGTGGGGGTCACTAGTCAGGGAACGGTGGGGTCACTGGTCCGACAGCGGTGATGGTTACTGGTCCGGGTAACAGATCACAGCGCAAGACTCAGGCCGCTATGTCCATTTGTTAATCTTTTTTATTGGGGCTGTATGTTTGACAGGCTAGAAGGGCCACTTAGAGACGAGGCAAAGTCGATAGTATTGGTATATGCTGAAGCGTATAACCCGTAAAATGACCCACGGGGGCTGGAGCCATTCAAAATTCGCTACATCGGGAACCAAGTTCAGAACTCTTGGCAATGGTCCAACACATTGCGCCACTTGGCTTCTTACACTTTCTAGCCCGGCTGAAAAAAATGCGAAAAAACATAGACAAAACGTTGCCTGTGTGCCATGCAAACAACGAGAATCGTACTGGCTGGCATGGAGGAATGGTCGAAAGGTTCTCGATTTTATGTGGACGCGAAAGTCGACGTTTATGTGCGCTGGGTATGGGCTGGACCCACGGGCAGGTCCATCTAACATGAACCTGCACGTGCACGTGTTCGCCGGACAGTCGTGGGGAGGTGAGCTGACCTGGTATTATCGATTGGCTTGTGAATGACTGTTGCTAACTGAGATGGTCGAGTAATATGATCACGTAGTAGAACTGTGTTGTTTCCGGCCAAAGCAATGGTTGTATGGGATTATCCAGCAGAATAGCAAACATCCTTGCTTAACATGCGCTCGGGTAGGAGTCACTTTGACCCCCTTTCGAAGGGTTTTCCGGACAGGTTTTCGAACGGCGCGGCGTAGCGGCGCCAAATTTTGCTGAGCTGTTAACAGCAGATTGTTTGGTTTCCAAAATTTAGATCTACCTTATGAGTTCGCTGACCTACAGCAGGTCAAAATCAGTTCATGGATTCAACCAAGTAAATTTCTAGGAAGTCGGTCAATCTGATGCAACAACAGAGCGTTAGACAAAGCCATACATCACTGAGATACTTTCTTAGGCAGCACAACAAATGAATTAATTTTGCTTAAAACAGATACCTAGGTTCCGGGGCACTTCGGACATTAACCTGGAGTTTGAATTTGTTTGACCTTATTCGAACCAAGGGCATGACCTAAGAGCCCCAAACTTTGGCGCAAGTGAGATTACGTACAGGCCAACGCATCCTGTGAATTTGGTGTCTCTATCTCTCTGTTTCTGAAATCTCAAGGGGGTCAAATTGGCCCCACCCGAGAGAAGATACCCAACCGGCCACCCGGGCGCGTGATAATAGAATCCAAGCCAAGGAGTTCCTATGAATGCATAACATTCCACTAGGACAATAACGCTCACGACTAAGCAGATTCAACCTTTCACTTAACCTTCAAGGTAATCACGTGAGGGCCGAAATCGTTGCGGCAGGCAGTGGCCATACCAAACTCCGAGCGAACGACGTCTGGAGCTGGGTGACCGCGGAGACTCGCTAGTGCCCAGAGTTCGGGGGGGGGGGGGCGGCACCAGGCGCTCGCTGCCCACAGGTCCTGACACTGTCGTGCGATCAGCACTTACTTGAAGTACTGTTCGGAGGCCAGCTCGGTCTTGGTGTGGCAGGTGACGCCGGCTGTGAAGTTGGTGATGTTCTGCAATACTAGGTACTTGCACGCCGGGAAGGAAGAGTTACGCACGAAACAGTTGTCGTCAGCGAACCAATCTGAAATCACATGGTGGACGTGGACGTGGGTTCAGTATTCAGAAACTTTTAGCTATGTCATGTTAGTGACATTGGAACTCCACAGTTAATTAGCTTTTATGCGTAAGAAAGATCTTAATTCAAACCTTTCCTCCGAAATTCATGCCATAATTCAGTTGCCCGAAGTCTCTAATATGACAACCAGGCACAGAGGTTACTTCAGCGGGCAATACACAAACAGTTATAACACTACTCGAGCTGCAGCATGAAACCGCCTTTTTCGAACGCCACAATGTCTCAAAATTTATATTAATAGATGTTGTTGAGCTAACAAAATTAGATATTAAGAACCTGACAAAATGCCAAGTGCATATCACAGCACTTACATCTGAATAAGTCAGTGATAGATGTGAACATAGAAAATTCAAAATTCAATTAAAAAATTCAAAAAAAATCAAGCATCATTCATATGCAGACAGATCTGACATACATAACAATGCTCGACAAATGACAGAAAACCACACGTCACCAATTGCCTCATATCCCGATCATCTCGCCAACCATTTATCTCATCAAGCCATCATTATAAGTGGCTCTGACTCCCGGAGTGTCAATCAGCATCAAACACTGCTAAGCTAGGTAAATTTCATGGGGATCATAGCATAACGACTCCGCTTGAAAGTTCGAACAGGGCAAGACTTCCTGATCTGTGTGACTGATGTCCTCAACTACAGCGCAACGAGTGTGTGATTACGTGAATCTTCGGGTTGGTAATTACCGGGCAGTCATTTACTGATCAGCTATGACTGCTCTTTCTTTTGCTAGATGCTTGTATGCACTACTGACAATAACCATAACAGTTATACTGTTTTTCGTATTCTTCCTATATGTGTTTCCACTTTTTTGCTGGCTTTGCGTCGCGGGGATGGAGGGAAAAGGAATTCCTCACCGTCCGTTCATGGGTGGCATCTCAGAAGGAATGATGACGTCATTTTCGACTCAGTCTTTGTTGTACGGGTGAACTCCGGCTGATTGGTTATTTGTGTGTCCTTTAATGAGAGACTCTAGCTCTTCGGTTCATCTAGGCTTTAATCGTAGCTATACATCTATTCAACTTATTCGCCCAGAGTCCTGCCACTCAAAAACAGCGTTTACCACCGAGGATCCAGAAATTATATATATACATACATATATATATATATATATATATATATATATATATATATATATATATATATATATATATGTGGCCACTGGCACCAAGACAGATACGACGACATGGGGTAGACAGAGAAGGACAGAGCTTATCTGTGTTGCAGTGCTCCGTTCAACACAAGAAATTATGTTTGCATCTGAAATACCCCGTATTCCGTTACCTATTGAACATGGGTTGAACGCATGACTTGGCTGAACAGTCAAAATAGTTGCAATATCAGGATATATCGACTTGGAGGAGATCGGAAAATGTTTTATATGTAAAGCAAGCATTTACATTTTCCTACTTGGTCCTTTCGAGTGCGTCACTGATCTTTTTGTACCGAACTGATACTCAACTGAGAAGGTGGTCGGCTTCCGAGCGAAAGGAACCTCTTTAACCAGTCCAAGTGGTTCCGAGACATCGTGGGAGAGTGGGGGGTGAGACCAAATCGGCACCAGGTTCATGGATTTCAAGCAAAACTTTAAGTATGACAATATAGCCAAGTCGGGCTTACTGGGACAATATTGTGCTATGAGGGTACGAAGAGCCGGCCCGTGGCACGACGTTGCCGAGCACCACGGGGCCGGCCGAAGCGCCGTCGTGCTCACCATGACACTCGCTCCAGGGCGCGGCGCCAGACTGGAATGAGGCGAACGTGAAGAACAGCGTGTATGCCATGATGACGTTGTAGTAGATGGCGACGATCACCGACATCACGACCATGGCCGCTCCCACGCCTGCAAACCGAGCAGAACGTTATCAGTGATTCAGCTGTCAGGGCAGAGAAACTCCTCGTCACTCTACGCGATGTGCGAACATCTCCTTGTATATGTTTATCGCGCATCTTCTGCGCGATGTTTTAGTTTACAGCGTAGCGGTGTAGTTCGAGGCACCATGCCGGCAAAATCGGTCACAATTTTCGAAAAAGACATGTTTTGGGATCGAAGTCTGCGTCTTCCAAAAATGCTTTGGGATCGTAGTGGGATCGTAGTTTTCTGCACCTTCTGCGACCCGATGCCCTAGGCACTTCATGATTCGACAGCTGCTTGCGTGTGCGTGGGCCAGGCGACACGCAGCGCAGAGCACGTGACTGACGGCAGCTTCGCCGCCCATGAACCGGAGAAGGGACAGTGCTCACCAGCACCTCTGTGGCAGCGTCCAATCATGAGTCGACAGCTCTGAGGTCGAAGTGAGGGGTGACTGACAGCCTGCTAGCGGCAATGTACTCAAGGAAAAAAGCACGGGTCAACAGGAGAGCTCCATACGAACACTTTCGGAAATCAAACCACCTTCCGGCGTGTGACTAACTCGGTGTTTTTAGTCAGAGTAATCGCAATGTTGTGGAGCGTGCCGGTAATGATTGAGTAGAATTGGCCGCGCTCTGTGGCAGGTGCGTGCGTCACATATCCGACAACAGGCCCATAACCATCCCCGTTGAGACACCCTCCCGCTGGCCTCAATCCCACTGCTGACTCTCCACCACCAAATGACTGGGGGAGGCCCATTAGCCGGCCGGAGCGGCGTTGTGCGCTGCACTCTGCCCCGGTTGCCACAGCACCGCCGGCCACCGCGGCCGCGGTGCATATCCCGTGCCGTCCCGAGCGGCGCGCCGTCGCCACTCGGCCGCGTCAGACCGCAGTGTTGACACGTGCTCATGCCCTGCGGCGGTCGCGCCGGGGGTGCGGCTCAACAGCCGTGTATGCGTGACGCCAGGCCAGCACGGGCCCGCCGCCCGGGTAGCGGTCAGAGGGCGATACGCTGCGCTTTCGTGAAGCCCGAGTCGGGACCTGCCGGAACGGCGCACTCAACGTGATCGGCTTTTTGTGCCTGAGCTCGTGATGCTGTACAGTGTTTTTGTTCCCGACATGTGAGCGTGACGGCGAAGTGGCATTCAGTTATCCAGTTGTGAAGTCATCATTAAGTCTTCTCCGGAGAGGTAGCACCGGCACCGGAAAACTTCATGCTACTGGAGGGGGCGTTACACCCGTCTGGGGCTCTAGGCTGATTTGGTGTACACAGGAGATTTGGTGTAAACAGTCCGCATACGTCGCCTGGATCAGTGTTTGTATTTTCGTCACCGTGGCTCGTGAGTCCCCGTATACTTCCCGGCTGCCGCGCGTTCCGTGCGTGCGTGGTGCGTGTGCCTATGCGTCACTGTGTGTGATCAATATGTAGTTCACGCATAGGGCGCGCGTAATTCACGTGGGATCCGTGCGTGGTCCGTGTGCACTCTGTGCTTGGCCTGACTGCAGTCGGTACGTGACCCGGGTGCAGCCCGTACGCGGTCCCTCTGCAGTCGGCTCGTGTTCCGTGAGCAGTCGGTGCGTGGTCCGCACGCAGCCGGCGCCGGTGCCGTTCCCACGGCACGGCGTGGTGAAACCGGCGGCGCGGCTCGCCGGCTCGCGCCTCAGCGGACAGCGGCGCCGCCGGCGGCGCCGATACGGACGGCGGCCACGGCCGACAGCGGCCGGCAGCGCGTGGGGTGGGGACGCCGGCGCGGCACGGACGGACGCCCGGACGCGCGGCGGGACGAGAGCCCGGCTCGAGCGGCGGGACGAGAGCCCGGCGCGAGCGGCGGGACGAGAGCCCGGCGCGAGCGGCGGGACGAGAGCCCGGCGCGAGCGGCGGGACGAGAGCCCGGCTCGAGCGGCGGGACGAGAGCCCGGCGCGAGCGGCGGGACGAGAGCCCGGCTCGAGCGGCGGGACGAGAGCCCGGCTCGAGCGGCGGGACGAGAGCCCGGCTCGAGCGGCGGGACGAGAGCCCGGCTCGAGCGGCGGGACGAGATACCGGCGCGAGCGGCGGGACGAAATACCGGCGCGAGCGGCGGGACGAAAGCCCGGCTCGAGCGGCGGGACGAGAGCCCGGCGCGAGCGGCGGGACGAGAGCCCGGCGCGAGTGGCGGGACGAGAGCCCGGCTCGAGCGGCGGGACGAGAGCCCGGCGCGAGCGGCGCTCGGAGACACGTCCACCGAACTGACATGGGGCGAGCGAACTGACTCTGGTTAGGGGCTTGCTGTTTCGAACCAGATCCTCATAATATATCACAGCTGTGCTTGCGCTTCCTCCTATGTTTGCCGTCAGTTCGGGGGTTGACGAGCAGTACATCGGGTCAGCACGTACACGGGCAGCACAGCGGACAGGCAACCGGTGGTGGCAAGCAGAACACCACCATCCACACTGACCTTTCATGACGGGCGCCATCTTCCACATGGAGACGGGCCCCAGCTGGCTGTACTGGCCGATGGCCGTCTCCATCAGGTACATCGGCTTCCCCACCAGGAACAGGATGATGACGTACGGAATCAGGAACGCTCCTGACGGCAGGCCACCAGCGCAAAGCGTCAAACGAGTCTGTGCACTGGCGCTGAAGTAGGCGGTGCTCTGTGAAGTGCACGCATGCGTTGGTAATGATGCGTGAAAAAGCTCGACCCGTCATCGAACGGAGAGCAACTTGTCCATTGTCATTTTCCATTTAAAATATGGGTTTGCGCCATCTCCATACGTTGTTTATAAAGTTGCATTACCGCTGCTACCTGTTTGGTTTAAAAAAAAACTTTTTATTTGTTTTATTCAACTAACGTTTCATACATTTTGATTGACTAGTATCACACACGCAAGTCAGCTTTACTGCCGTCAGTGCAGTACTTCTTCCAAGGCAGTTAATTGATGACAGGCCCACACCACGGCCTTTTTCAAATATTATGCGCAGCAGGCGCGCAAAAAAGATGCTCATAGGCATTCATATGCTCAATGAGCCCAGTGCTTCCATTGAAAGCAAGACAAGAATCGTAAAAATCAAGCGATCGTTCCAGACAGGAACGTGCACCACCTTACACAGCCATGAAAACCAGAGAAGGGCGCACAGCACAACGTGCAGAGAAGGAGGCTGGCTGCTTTGGAACGTGGAGTGACCGTCATATGATATGGACCCGAGTCCTCTGCATTTTCGCGACAACAAAGGCAGCCACGAAACAAATGATGGCCACCTCCGAAGCAACCTACATCACATCTAGATGACAAGGAGGAGGCCATCTCGAACATATCATTGATCACTTGGCTCCAGCCGTACCGGCCAGAATATTTGGGCGTTGAATGCATGCGTGAAATACAATGCTCAAAACACTCAGAAGGTTGTTACACAAGGCAAGGACCCTCGTGTGTTTGTTCCAGTAGTATCTTTGTGCTATCTGCATGTTCCAGATTCACTTTTCACATATATTTAGGCTCATGCTTAATGCAATCTGATGCATTGAAAGCAGTTTCCAATTAGGTCTAGCTGGGTACGGTATCTTAACCACTTATGCCACGATGTTGAAATCACCCAGAAACATGCGCAGCTAAACCGTTGATATTCCGGGAAATTTGTATGAAAACACAAAAAATCACCATTAATATACCTCCCCAAACAGGACACGCTTTTTGAGACAACCGACCAATTGGGTCACATTGTGACAGCTAGCATGGTAGGCCACAACATGCACCGGTATTGCTCACAGAAATTACATAAATAGGCATTTCTGAGCGATCATCTTAAGCAACAAACGAACTCCTGTGTAATCCTATTAGGAACGATACGTATCAGGTCGAAATGCATGCCTCGAAATTTTAAACCTGATTTTAGAGACATTTTAAAGCTTACTTTTCCAAAATTAATTTGCGATAAATCTTTCGTTAAAGTCACCCATATTACTATCAATGTACCACCAAAAATATGGGTTCATCCGCAGCTGGACGCATTCAACGGCTACACCACAGAAAAAAATTTTGTTTGTTTCAAATGATAATGGTATTATAGCTCGCTATCGTTGCATTAAATTAGATAAGCATCTTTGGATTATTACTAAAAACGCCTCTCCTCACATTCAGAAAGGTTGTTAGAAGCATCTGGGTACACCCACTACCCCACCCCTGCATCTCACTCTTTGTGTGTATGTGTTATGTATATATATATATATATATATATATATATATAAATATATATATATATATATATATATATACATATATATATACATATATATATATATATATATATATACAACTGTTCTCTCAGAAGATTGTAATATGTTGGGACACATTGTAACATCGCACATTCCCCTGCCATTTCGTGGTCGATAAGGCTATCGTCACATCACCCCCCCCCCCTCCCATGTGGCTGTTCCACTCCCCTAGCGGCGGGTGCACAGCTCAGCACCAGCTCCCACGCCGGACCAGAGCACAGCCACTGTGTGACTGTCCTGGCGGTGGGCGCACAGCTCCGCCTGCGTGTTTCCAGCAGGCCGGGCTGCGCTCGCCGGGAGCGGGGGGGGGGGGGGGAGGAGAGGGCGTGGTCAGGCCGCTGACAGTTACGCGTTTTGCACCGCAGACCTTGCTGGGTGAACACGGCGGCCAGCGCAGGCGTGCCGCCTCAGCAGCGGAACCGTGTCAGCGGGGGGGGGGGGGGGCGGGGGCGGACGGACGGGGCGACAGCTCGGGCCGCCGGGACTCAGCAGTTTGCCGCACAGCACTACACTGCGCGTGCGACCTCGTGGCGGGGCAATAACGACGGCAAATCTCAACATCTAACAAACCCTGCTGGGAACATCAAAGACCTGATGGCCCGTGGCTAACACATGTGACGGGCCAGGGAGACCCGCCGGGGCTGGTTTTTGTGCATTGCTGATAAGGAACGAGTCGTTCATGCGTAACCGGAATTGCTCTTTTTACATGGGGACGTTCCGGACTGCTGAGGACCAGCTCCAATGAGCAAGGCGAGCACCTCCAGCCAGCGGCAGTTTCTCAGCACTCCTGAAAACATGCAGCTGCGAGCACCAGGCGGAACGCCAGTCTGCAGGGCATCAGACACCGAGTGCGAAACACGTACCACGGCAGTTCTAAACCACGCTGCAGTACACTGCAGTAAGTTTTCACCCCAGGATTCAAAGCAAGCTACCAATAGGTTAGTTCGACTTGTACGATGCATTAAATTTCGAAGCAATTCTCGGGCAGTCATGTTGATTTTGCAGGCGGCGTTCTCCGCAGTGCGCCGATCCCGGTCTGTGGACGTCACAGATCACCCGCTGTGAAGAGTTCCTCCACCGCCGAGGCGTGGGACACTCACCGCCGCCGTTCTCGTAGGCGAGGTAGGGGAAGCGCCACACGTTGCCGATGCCGACCGACAGGCCAATGCAGGAGAAGATGAACTCCCACTTGGAGGCCCACTGGCCACGCTCCTGCGTCTGCGTCACGTCCGTCTTCGGCTGGACGGCCAGCGGCTCCAGCGGCTGCCGCAGAGCGACGGGTGCGGTCAGCCGGCGGTGAAGAACGGGACGCTGCAGACACAACGTTGACTTTCCGGAGGCATGATTGCGAGCTCTTTAAGCCCCCAGGCTGACACAGTCGGCAAAATACCGCCGGCGGTGTTCGGTTAAGATGAGGCCCACAGTATGTCTGAGCGCGTCCGTTACTGTATTCTGAGCGTGTTCGGTTACTGTGTTCTGAGTGTGTTCGGTTACTGTGTTCTGAGCGTGTTCGGTTACTGACGGCATTGCTTTAATGTGCGGTGCTACGGCGGAATTCAACGCACGAGAAAGACAAGACTTCAGACCTTTAAGATTTGCTGGTGTTGAAAAAACGTTTTTATTACAGAATGCTGTGTCCACTCTAGGAAAAACAATCTGGAAAGTCTGTTTGGCAGGCCAGACCGATGCAAGCACCGATACTTGTATCGGTATAGCGAAACATAACGACCGGAGGCGAAAACGGCTAAGAAGCATATGCGACTGCGGGAGGCATTCAGCTGGTGGTTAGATGTGACCACAGGGCACAGCAGAGCTGCTGCTGACTGCGTACTTGGCCGAGGCAGTTCATGTGAAGATAATTTAAATTGCGTGCGTTCAGGAACGTCCTGAAATAGCGTTGTCGTGCAGTGTCGAGTCTATACTTATCCAAGAGATCATTTTGTCGAGCATCATCGACCATTTGCATAACAGAGTGAATGAACTGCCTTTACAGACGCTACAGGTCGGCTGTCGTACGATGACATCTGATGGAGGCTTTGGTCTGCGGTGTAAATGCCTCTTCTTGCGAGGGTGACAGGTCGGTAGACAAGATCTTCATAGCACAACAGGTAAATAATGGATTAGTACTGTAAGAGCGTGAGCACATGTGATATGCACACGCACACACACACCTGGACACACCGTACCCGCGGTCCTGCGGGAACGCGAAACACGCGGCCCTGCGGGCACATCGTACGCGCAGTCCTGCGGGCACATCGTGCAGGCGGCCCTGCGGACACGTCGTACACGCGGCCCTGCGGGCACATCGTATACGCAGCCCTGCGGGCACATCGTACACGTGGCCCGGCAGGCACATCGCACGCGCAGTCCTGCGGGCACATCGTACACCCGGCCCTGCGGGCACATCGGACACGCAGCCCTGCGGGCACATCGCACGCGCAGTCCTGCGGGCACATCGTACACGCGGCCCTGCGGGCACATCGTACGTGCAGTCCTGCGGGCACATCGCACTCGCTCGCTCGCAGCGCCGGCCGGCCAGCTGTACGCTCTCACCTGTCCATTGCTCTTGCCATTGCTGTAGGCCGGCACGTAGCTGTTCTTCCAGGAGGAGGGCGGCGGCGGCGCGCCACCGCCGTTCTGGTGTCCGCCGTTCTCCCGGTGACCCGGCGCGGCCGGGCCGCCGCTCCGACGGTAGCTCATCGTCTGCACTGGGTCCTGCCAGAGGGGTGCAGGCGCGTCAGTCGGGCGTCGCCGTCAGCGGTACGGCGCCGGCGCAGAGTCTGAGGCCAAGCCCCAGGAACGGGGAACGCGAGCAGGCGCCAGAGGCTGCCGGCTGGCGTGTGTCCGTCAAAACGCCTTTGTCATCAGTTCGGGCGGACTAAGTGGTGAAGACTGCTGGCGCGGAAGCTGTTACTTACAGTGTTATTTTGTCCTCATGGGGGAAATCGACTCATTGAAGACGCATTCTTGTTCGCTCAAATAGAAAGTGAGCTAATCCAAGTGAGCTGATTTCCACCCGGCATGTAGATGTCGTCGTGAGAACCTCAACTTCCAAACATTGTTCTAGATTCGGGCCATGTAGCAGGCTCCAACGCCGTGGCCGGCTGTCCCATTTCACCGAGTGCCCGTCGCCACGCCGCTCCCCTCCACATCCCGCGCGCGGTCGGCAGCTCCCCGTCACACACACACCCTCACACCGCGTGCCGCCAGCTCCCGCCTCCGAGGCCGCTCGTGGCTGTGGTCAGCTGAGCGTGGACTCAGTACGCACTATCGGTGTGACGAGCTCAAGAGAACAGCAGAGACTGGGAGGACTGCCCGTGACTGGGAGGTTTTCAGCCATCGCCTACTCCAGAGCTCCGGCCAGAGACTGTACGCGCTACAGAGCAGGGTAGCGCCAATAACCCGAGTGCAGCACACGAACGTATCTATCACAGTTGTGATCTACGGCGCGGACCCGCTATCATGATTTCCGGACAGCGGAGAGGAACTGGGGGCGGGGGGGGGGGGGGCTGCGGTCCAGCACCCCAGCTACCTTAGGTGAGGGGCTCTTAAGGTACTTGGTCCACAAATGTATGCCTCTCGAACAAAATAAAAACGCAGATTTGCACAAATTGTTGATCAGATCTTTGTAAAAACTGAAAATAAGCCGGTCATAAGGCAAATCGCAATTTGATTTTGGGTCAAGACCAGGTTTTCTTTCCAAGCATGGACCCAGACCGGTCTTCATAAAGTTTTGCTCGTGTGCACAGAGAGTGCAAGAAGGGCATTCAAAATAATTCACATGTGTCTCATTGCCTCCTATCTACCGCTTTCTGAAAGCTAGCCACAAGAATGGTGTGCTGTGATATACTTTTTTCGTTTTCCAAAGAAGCCTGAATATTTGTTCTCCAATTTGTGGTGTCTGTACAGGGTGAATGATCCCGCCGTGTGAAAGCAAAAGACCACTTCTCACGTGTCCTGCTGTGTTTCCCTCGCCATAGAAGGAGCTATTTACATCGGGCACGACCGTGAACGGACACGCGCTGCCGACCTGGTCGAAAGCGTCTCCTCCCTAGATCGTTTTACGTTCGTGGAGCTGATGGCTGCTGTATTACTCGCTTTAAAAATTGGAACCAAGCTGAATAGGAGAGCTGAACCTACGTGGTTCTTGTCAAATGCATGAAATGCAAGAGTTATATGGAGGTAGCGCTGGATGTGATAACATCAGAGTTATGTGATTTGGATGCTTAAAATTGTAATTGGCTGCCTTCAAGCAGCCAATGTTAGCAATGTGCGCAGCATTTAGCGCAGCAAGATAGGAAAAAGGAATTATGTTTAGATTGTGATGAACTGCGGATGCATTGCAATATATCGGGACGTAGTTTCGGGGACGTGGTGTTATATTTGGTTGGACGGGTTCCTCTCATCTTTTCTTCACAAACAGCTTAAAAGTGGTTATTATCAAGCAAATTCACGCGGTTGTACAAATACTTAGTGCCTGCTGCTATTAAGTACACGACTTTTATGTAACGCATGCGCAGTATCTCACTACTTCGGTACCAAGAGATTCGCCCAGGGCTTATATGTTAGTCCTGCTTTCCTCCTTTGACACCGTCCATTCCTTTGGACCACCTAACGTAACTAATCATTGAAAGCGAGCTCATTGAATCTCTCCGGACGACCTGCTTCCGTGGCCAAGTGGAGAGCTTTCCACGCGGCCGTGGACGTTTGCCTTCACTATCCGTCAGTGACGCCCTCGACCGTGTCCCGGTGCAGGCACAGGCAGCGACAAACACGACTAATGCACACTCGTAACGTAGGGGTAGTTCAGGCGCGACCGAACCGTTGCGTTCCATACGTGTCCAAGGCTACTCCACCGGAATCCTCAAGTGCACTGGAGTGGTTTTGTCGACCGGTGGCTCAAACTTCGCAGCGGAGTGTTAACTACCGTTTCGATTATACGGGTGTTGAAAATGACATCATTAGCTCACGCGGGACGAAAAGTAGGTAGCGAAAAAATGCCATAACATAACGCTTTCGGTGGCATCATGAAATGTAAACTCAACGACACGCCATCAAAAGAAATGAATTGGAGCATTTATTTGGAGCATTGCAAGATACTCTTAGCAGAGTATGGTGCTAGTGATAGCGGCAGAAATGTCAAAAAAGCGGAGTGCATTCGATACTTTGTCAACCTGCTCATGTCACTTTGTCTGGGGTGGCTAAAAGTACTAAACACGGTAAAATGTCAGAATTGTATCTAACCAAACGGCTTGGAAAACACTAGTAGTGTGTTTAGGTGTGTTCAGAAAAGGAATACAAGTCTCAAGTTGCCAGGTTGTTTTATCGAAATGCCAACGAGGATCCCAAAATTGATGCTTTGCTTACAATGCCGAAGAATTCGTACGAACACAGTTGTTTTTGCCAATGGTAGATGTGCGAGCTGCATGGAATAGCAACTAACAGTTTAATTGTATTACCACTCAGAGCCCCCTGTCCAAATGCGTCGGTTCGCTTAAATCAGCAATATGAGCAGGCTGTATGACGCTATCTTTCATTTAATCTCACTCTGCACCTATCATATTTATTGACTCAAGCAAAGTTGTACTGAAATGAATATCAAATCATTTGAGCATAGACACTACAATGGCCATAAAGAGTTGAGTTCAAATAGTTGCCTACCATCCATGCTGCAACACTCCGTCCTTGTGCGTAGCGATAAATACAGCTGGAAGATGATCGTTGCAAATGAATATGACACCAGGGGTCAAAAGAGAAGAACCCCATAGTCACCTACAGTTAAGCACAACACAATTTCACATATACAGAACTCTTAATATATTTGTCTTGCGTCACCTTTACACATGTTATTTTGTTAGTTGTGTACGTTTGCGATGTTAGCAGCATGCATTTTATTATTGGAAGCTCTCCATAGTCCCCACGAGTAAGATAGCTTTGTATTACCGTTGGTCACTTAGCCTGGCCCGAGTGGAGAACTACGTGCCCCACAGCTCATAATATCACCGCTCCTGGGTCCGCCTCTGGCAGAGCGCAAACATCACATGTCACCCAGATGTGGTCAGACCTAATGCAAGTGACCATGCTACAACTAACAGGACAGATGGGCAAACGACCCAAACGGAGAAATAAGTCATTCAAAGAAAGAGTCCTGGACGTTATAATCATCTTAAATAGCCAGTCGCTAAATGGATGTTTGGGAACAGCTCGCAAAATTCATAACGCTTCACCGGGTTAGAATGTACCCAGATAAACTGCGTTTAGTACGGCCGTGCCTCGTTTGAGAGTAAGGTCAGGTGGTATAAATATGACTTAATGCTGGTAGCCGCTGTTGAAGGGGGGTCCTAAAGTGCTGCTCAGTTGACTAGAAAACTGCAAAATTTGGCTTGTCGGTTATGCAGTGGATTCTCAGACCGCCACCGCGGAAGAGAGCAGAGCAGTGTTCAATCATGTTGACTCGCTGCGAACTGCAGGCGGCGGAACGTCCTTGACTGTTCCACCTTCCCACGCCGTGACACGGGGTTAGAGGTCGATGATCGGCGGCGGAGTCTGCAGTCTGGTCTGCCCGTCACGTGCACCGCGCCAGGGGCGCGAGGTCGGCCGCCGTCTGAGCCGAGCCGAAGCCGCAGCGGGGCCGCTCAGGTCAACTCCGATCCAGTGAGGTCAGGCGACAGTAACCGTCTCGAGGCAACATATGCGCACGTGGTATGTGCCGCACATGGGGAAAATGTGCGCACGGGCTCGCACATGGGCAAGAGCTTTGTCCAGAGGAGTATGGCAGATATGCAGCCGGTCAGGTCAGCCAGGAGGCTGTGGCATTACTGAACTGACGGCGACTACCAGCAGGTAGCCACTCTCAGTAGCCGCTCCACCGCGGCAGCGAGGAGGAGTTATGGCGACAAAAACGCTGCTCAAAAACTAGTCGCCTCAGAAGTCAGGAGCATTGGATCCTGCATCGGTTCCTGTACAGAGTTCACATCGCTGAACCTGTTGTGGACTGACGACTCAGTGCCTTGATCTGAGCATGTCTTCGACCCGGACCAGTTTCTGTAGCATCGACGTAGCTCGGTTATTGAGCTCTGCACTGCGTCGCTGAAGATAACTTCGCTGGTGAATAGGGATAGTGATCGCCAAATTAACATTCGTTTTAGTTGATTTAACTTCGGACAACTCAGCTACTGACCAATCGTTTTTGTGTTAAATACATGGTAAGCTACAGCATACCGTCCTGACTGTTTTGCTATGCTTCATTTTGGCATGCTTTTTACTTTCACTCTGCAAAAACTCCGTTAGGTCTTGACCATGGCATGGGGCTTTTAAAAGCAGAGTATTCGGCAGCGCTACTTCAAATGTGGTAGCGCTTAAAGTCATGCATAGCGGCCGAACACAATGCGCAAAAGGGATAATATTTTAGGTGTTCGGGGATTTATTGCGGTTGACAAGATGCAATCTTGGAGCCGGGTTTCCAGCTTGTATCAGGGACAGTAGGATTTTTTTAAAAAAAACCTGTTTGGTGGCCCGAATCCCGTTAAATTTACGGCATCCTTAAATAGCTAATGTATTAATGACCACTGTGGCAACATTGCAATACGTTCAGAGAGTGAGATATGACAACATAAGTGATGAACAAGTCAACAACTGAACTGATGCCAAAAAAATTCGGCCCAGAGAGACAGTATTTTCTTAGAACTTCCGAGATTGCCCCTTAAATAAATAGCGCGGCTGTGTTCAGTTTTAGCAGCCCCATATCAAAGCAAGGCAGCTAAAACTGAAATAATACATAAATGATGCTTGAGTCGGTATGAAAAACCAAAGTCTAAAAACGACCTACTCATACTTAGAGTAAGCGAGGACAGGCAGAGCAAACATAACGGGTGTGTGCCTATTGCCACGTGCCACGACTGTGCCACGACTTAACTAAAATTCACTGACCCATATTATAACAGCGTTTCATTCGATGCAACGAAACATCATAGCGCAGCCCGCACGGATTCCAGCGTCATCCGGTGTCGACACAGAGAAAGACACTTGGTCAGTCTGTGACCTAACCGACTGGCTCCTGATCAGAATTGTCAGCGATCGACAACCTTGGCCATAGCGACAAGGTCAGCACAGATCCCATCTCACAGAGCAAAAACTGCCACTTACATTAACCTTGTAGCTGTGCGAGGGCATCACTGCCGTCTGGTGCGCCGGCCAACGCTGCGCGTCACCAACGCCGCCGACGATACCGGAGAGCTAACGGACCACGCGCGCGCGCCTCCAGACGGCAGGTCACTCGCGGCTCGGGCGGCAGACGCCGGCACACTGCACTACGCCGGCCAGACAGCTCGTGCGGTGGACAGGTGGCCACCACGCTCGGCATCGCCCCGGGCTACGGCCGACGATGCTGCCAGCTGGCGGCCGCGACAGTAAGCTCCAGGAAAACACCTCACGCTATGCGTTCATGGGCCAATTAGTGGGCGCGGGCGCCGGAGCGCGTGGTGTAGGCCGGCGAGGCTGGGACGTGTGGTCATCTGACCGGGCGGCTGTGCCACACCGAGGGACACCCTATGTTGAAGTGTGCGTGGTGTATGTACCTACAAGGGGCGCAGGAACTGAGGGGGAGAGGACCAATGGGGCTGAGCCCCCTAAGTTTCCGATAATCTTATATGAGCCTCATGGGTGTTGACTGGAAAGAAATAATCAAAAATGGCTACCGCTCCCCCCCCCCCCCCACAATCCACAATTGAGTGAGCCATTTAAGACCCCCAGGATGGTCTACGCACATGGGTCTCTGGCGACGCCTGCGCGGTCTGTGACCACCAGTCATGGCAATAAGTCAGTTTGGTGGATCCCAGTTCCTCTCACATCACTCGAGCACCAAAGCCGGGAACGATGCGCGTCCAGTCGGCGCCACAGAGAGCTCGTTATCAGGATACGGGCGGCTCCGTTTCCGCGCGCCGCAAGCGCACCAGCGCAGTCACAGACGTTACACTTCGCCGCGGTCAATCCTGGGACCGCCGTGTCGTGTGTCGTATGTTGTGTGCGTCTGCAGATATGATATGGTCGTGACAGGGGGCCTGGCGCTGGTGATATATCAGTCTCTACTTTCCATTAAGACAGACATAGACTGAATTGCTTCCATTAAGATGTAATGCCTTCCTACAAACCGGTAGCAGTCGCAGAAACGGGTCACAACTTCGGTTTAGGCAGACGGCATTTGCGCGCGTGTGGTCATCGTCGGCGATGGTTCGTTGGGTGTGGTTATTATGGGAAAAGGGCAGATGTCGTGCTTGGACATATGTGACTACGGCCGCCCTGTTATGACCCTGATACGCAGCAAATGAACTATCAAAGCATCGTTGTTGGGTGGACACCATCAGGATTCCTGGAATATCTCAGCTTTTTGAACCGCGAGGCGCGAGTAGAAGACAAGCAAACATACAAAAAATAGGGAAGCTCTTAAAAGTAAAACAAGTAAACAGATCGCACGACACCACTCGAAATCAAGATTGTCTTGTCTGACAAGTTGATGGTGACACGATGATGAGTGCGCTAAAGGGTTCAGGCTGAGACTGGCGCTGATCATCCCACCACATCAGCGGAGGCGGGCTTCTTCATGTGTCGTGACAAATGGTGACGCGTGAGTACGTAAGCTGGCGGCGAACACGCCCGAGTGGTCTCCACTAGCTTCCGCCTGCCGCCACCTTTGCCGGCCTGGTACTGCCTGCACGGCCTTCGCGGCTGAGTACCCACCCCGCCACCGCCCTAGCCAGTGGGTGTCGGGCCCGAACGAGTACCCGCTTGGCCTCAGAGTCTGTCGATAGAATACCGAGGAAATCTCTGTTTACTCTGCCCTTCTTCCCGTACTCTTCAGGTGTAGTGGTGCGGGGCAAACTCTGTTAGAATCATCAGCGCTGACATTGTGTTGGTTTTTCGCCACAGCTGGCGCTATAGCTGCGTTTTGGGCGTATTTAAACAGGCCAAGAGGCCGATGTTTCATCAGGAGAGCAAGAGCCATCAGCAAAATCAGGGTTTGTTCAAGGTGTGCAGACATGTGGTTGATAAATAGTCGGCAGCTGTCGCTCTAAGTCTACGAAAATATATGCATTTGCAAACCCAAGACCCTGGGATTCCAGCCCTTCCTGTCAGAGTGAGAGGATGGCAACGCTATCAGACCTCGGCAGCTGAGTGCGTCGTAAAGCCCCAGTGACACAATGCTACACAGGCAGAGATCTAAGCTGACCTTGAAATCATAAGCTGTCTAGCGGTAAAGAATGTTCGGCACTTGGTAAGTCATTGGGAGTTATGCTTAGTCATGCTTTTATGCTAGGTTCATCAGTGAGGTATCACTATGTCAAATGGCATTGGGTCCAATCCATCCATGTTTATCAAAGCACGTTGTACAAGATCATCAATACAGCCGTTGTGTACTCGTCTCACACAGTGCTCATTCTAAGGCCAGAACCCTACAGAATCATTACTGCGGAAAGCAAACTCTTGCTTAAAAGAGACACCAGCTGAATGAGATGAATTTGAAGCAACTTTCTGTGCATTCAGCTGAAAACATGCAGTTCCAGTCCCTTTAGCATACAGGTCAGTGGGCCGTGCTGAAAACCGGCGCAGACGGCTTGCGTTTACGTTTTATTACAGCCACATTTTACCCAGGTGGGTCGCAAACTGCCCATCTTACTGCTGTAAGTGAAATTCAACGGCATCACGCTATTCGCAATATAAAATATAAGATACCAGGTCACCAGTCCATCATAACAAATAATAAAAAGGCATTAGTGGCATCAACCCAAGCCGTTTTTGAAATACAACGATTGAATTTAAAGAGGGTGCATTTGAGGTACATAAACGTAAGTTATATCGCACCATTTCAGACGGGTTGCGCATTCAAACCACCTCAGGACAGAATTTGTCATCGTTTTGACCACAAAGGCTTGTTTTCGGGAGCGTCTGAGAATGTTTGGATTTCAGAATGGCCCGTTCGACACCTGCTCTACTCTGGTGCGGCAGAGATATCGGACCCGTGCCTGTCCATCTCTGGGCAGAGTGACGTCACGCCTTAACAGAGCAGAACATCATATCAGACCCGTGCCCGTCCATCTCTGGGCAGAGTGACGTCACGCCTTAACGGAGCAGAACATCATATCAGACCCGTGCCCGTCCATCTCTGGGCAGAGTGACGTCACGCCTTAACAGAGCAGAACATCATATCAGACCCGTGCCCGTCCATCTCTGGGCGGAGTGACGTCACGCCTTAACGGAGCAGAACATCATATCAGACCCGTGCCCGTCCATCTCTGGGCAGAGTGACGTCACGCCTTAACAGAGCAGAACATCATATCAGACCCGTGCCCGTCCATCTCTGGGCAGAGTGACGTCACGCCTTAACAGAGCAGAACATCATATCAGACCCGTGCCCGTCCATCTCTGGGCGGAGTGACGTCACGCCTTAACGGAGCAGAACATCATATCAGACCCGTGCCCGTCCATCTCTGGGCAGAGTGACGTCACGCCTTAACAGAGCAGAACATCATATCAGACCCGTGCCCGTCCATCTCTGGGCGGAGTGACGTCACGCCTTAACGGAGCAGAACATCATATCAGACCCGTGCCCGTCCATCTCTGGGCAGAGTGACGTCACGCCTTAACAGAGCAGAACATCATATCAGACCCGTGCCCGTCCATCTCTGGGCGGAGTGACGTCACGCCTTAACAGAGCAGAACATCATATCAGACCCGTGCCCGTCCATCTCTGGGCGGAGTGACGTCACGCCTTAACGGAGCAGAACATCATATCAGACCCGTGCCCGTCCATCTCTGGGCAGAGTGACGTCACGCCTTAACAGAGCAGAACATCATATCAGACCCGTGCCCGTCCATCTCTGGGCGGAGTGACGTCACGCCTTAACAGAGCAGAACATCATATCAGACCCGTGCCCGTCCATCTCTGGGCAGAGTGACGTCACGCCTTAACAGAGCAGAACATCATATCAGACCCGTGCCCGTCCATCTCTGGGCAGAGTGACGTCACGCCTTAACAGAGCAGAACATCATATCAGACCCGTGCCTGTCCAGCTCTGATCAGAGTGACGTCACGCCTTAACAGAGCAGAACATCATATCAGACCCGTGCCTGTCCAGCTCTGATCAGAGTGACGTCACGCCTTAACAGAGCAGAACTTAATATCAGACTCGCGCCTGTCCAGCTCTGAGCACCGTTGCATCAAGCCTTAATGCATTTAGCATATACATTTGTTGGATTCGGCATAGGATATTGCATAGGATTTAGCAGCATTTTTGCAGTCATTCATGTGGCTCTAGTCTTTAAAAAATGCAATTCCCACACATTTTACCGAAAGAATGTGCGTTTTTACGTTTCCAGAGCCTAAACACCATTTTCAGATCTGATTGTCTCCCCTCCAAGTCTCATTTTGACCACCAACCTTGGTTTGTTTCCTAATCTCAGAGACGCGTTGCGACCACGCATGCATGCAACTGCAGCCATGAGGTATCACCATGTCACATGGAAGACTGTGGGGGGGGGGGCGTGGCACAAATTATTTACTCTTCAATGTTGCAGCTTCGGCGATGTGGCTTGTTGGGCGTGTACGCCATGGGTTGTGCAAGGAGAGAGCTGGGCTGCACCACGTTATGCAAAACAGCTCTGGTATTGCTGTATAGCACAGCATCGTGAAAGGGGTCTAGTGGCTGGAGACTCGCGTTCTGAGGCGTGTCCGCCACCGCACACAGCGCTTGGAAATGGAGGAGGGACGGAGTGGAGCGGAGACGGAGACGGACACCTCCGTGAACCAGTCTAACCGTTGGGGACTGATTAAACGCCCTCGGGTGAAGGGCTAGCTACCATGAAGATGTCATGCCATAAAACATGCGTATGTATATACGTACACACATGTGTAAAACACGGTAGGCAACTTTAAAAAAAAAAACACATTTCGGCATGCCGGCTCCTCCCAGCAGCATAAGCGATGAATATGAGATTCCTGTGTTTCCAAGTAGATCATTACTGCCCGTGTAATTGGTCTGACTCAGCCCGTTAGTAATACCCTGTTTTTATCAGTTCCACCCGGACTCCTCAGGAGCGTATTAGAGCGATTAAACAATGCACCTTGAATAACTGGTATCGTGTGTATGCCTTCAGCAAAAAGCGCTAGCGTCGCCGACTTCGAACGCATACGGAGCGTCAACAACATGCCGTTGCATGAAGAGCGCGACTGGAAGGGTGACGTCCGTGTGAACACGTCCGGTACGCTAGAACATGACTGGCAAGGGTGACGTCCGTGTG